ACAGTGGCGTGACGCTGCAAGACCCCAAAAATATCGGCTGGCAGATCCGGGCGCAAGGAATCCAGCGCCTGCTCCTGCGACGGACCATCTATGCCGAAAAAATATATCTCAAAACCTGCCGACACGCCCCTGTGGTGAACCAACGTCTGCATGGCATTGTATGATACAACCTGTGTTACCGGTTGGTTGCCCCGTAAGAGAATTGGCTTACCCCCCAAAACAAACTCCATCGTCATCGCCGCGTAATCATGTGAGACCTTTCCAAGGTTCTGTAACCACTACACCCCAAGCACAATTTGGGGTCCTTTGATCTCAAGCACAAACAAATCCACCACCAAAGTATGCCCTTGAAGAGTGATAGTAAGGAGAAGAAGGAGATAGGAAAGACACAAGGAAGAAGGCCTTGCGGCCGTAGGGTGAGAATGAGAATTAGGGTTAAGTTCTTCTTAGTTATTCCTCAAAGAACTTACATCTCAATATATAAGGCTACGAGATGAAACCCTAAACCTAATTAACTAATTTATCTTACTTGTCGGTTCAAGAAAAGCATCGAGGTAAAGAACCGAAAAGAAACCCTCGAAGGAGCTTATAATACGCTCACCTAATGAAAATCTAAAATGTAATAAATCATAAATAAGAAATATTATTTAAACATAATCCTTGTACCGGGCCAGTGGTTTGGACACCTGACCCGACCTTCGCGGCATCTCCTCATGTTCCTCCGCATCTACATGCTCCGCCACTGCCCCATCCTCAATATCCTGACCCGTATCACATACTGTCAGTTGGGCAGAGATGGTATGGAACAAACTCACCATTCCAAAGCACAAATTTATTCTCTGGCTCATCTGCAAGAACAGATTTCAAACCAAGGTAAGGTTGAGCAAAATCCTCCCTATTGATACTCAATGCCTTCTTTGCCAGAATGGTGATGAGGACAACCAACATTTATTCTGCACCTGTCCTTATGCTAAGGAAATATACATGAAGATCTACCCTTGGTGTTCCTACAAGTTTGAGGATGACAATTTAGAAGGGATGATTGCAAAGATCCAAAATATCACCCCTATGAAGAGAAGAAAGAAAATCACTGCCATCTTTGCAGCATGTGCATACTGCATATGGAGAAGTAGGAATCAAAAGCAGCACAAGAATATTGTCGTCTCAACAAAGGAAGCATTTCACTGGATAAAGGGTCATGTTATTAGCATCTTTCTGCGGTCAAGACGGTCAGAAGTAGGATAAGTTGGATGCTTGATGTATTACAATTTATTGTTTTTTGTTTATGATGTAGTTGGCTTAGAATAGAGTGCTCTTGTAGCTGTCTTTGAATATTGGAAGATGAATAACATTTCTGTTTTCGGTTCAAAAAAATACATAAAAATGCAAAAATAAAAAATAAAAAATGAGACAACAGAAAATTTTTTAAAAAAACAAAAAATAAGGCATATAGTACCATATACAAACAAAAAGGACATTTAAAAAAATCACTATTTTACTTTTTTCTGTTTGTTTTCGTTTACTACTTTTTTCTTTAGTTCCTTTTTTAAATCTTTATTTATTGTTTATTCCTTTTCTACCTTTTCTCATTTCTTAATTTTTTTTCTTGGTGGAACCTAAAATCAAAACCAATAAACTTTATGGATAATTTTTATCGGTTAATCTCAAGAAATTGCAAAGAAAATAAACACTAGAATTCATCCATGAAGGTTACTCGTTTTGAATTTGCGTTTCACCAGTTCGACAAACAATAGAGAGAAGAGTGATGATTTTTGGTTTTAGGTTCAAAGTTTCAAACTCAGCGACGATTTTGGGAAAGGAGTGCGAGTGGAGGGAGGAAGCTTAATTGAGGAGAGAAAGGAGTGTGAATTTACAATTTTATCCACATTTTTAACGAAAATGTTAACAAGGCTGAGGAAATCGATTAAAAATGATTAATCCAAAAAGTGATTAATCGATTTGTAGCAGAAATCGATTTTAGCAAGGCTGAGGAAATCGATTAAAAATGCCTGGGCGAAAAGCCAGATCTGCGCAAGAAGAATTACACGAACTGATAATCGATTTTTAGTGCGAATTATTCAAAGACTGTAAGAATCCAATCAATAGCGAGTTAAAGAAGTACAATTGGCATTTTCCCATTGTTTCTAACATGAGACATGTACTTGAAGTTCCCAATCAAGATCAACTTTAATTCAAAATAATTTTGAATTATTGGTGAATTATGGGGAGAAAATTAGAGTTCCAAAATATTTTGTTTTTCAAACAATGTCAAAGAAATATTTGAATAATTTTTTTTGCTTACCAGAAATATTTTATGATATCAAAATAATCATTTTGAAAATGTTTGACACATCTTTTGTAACTGACTCAATAAATTTGTTTTTGAATCATTAAAAGATTTTTTCAACTGACTCGAAAAATAAATATATACTTTTTAATGTATAACCCTCAAAAAATAATTTGTTTAAGTAGAAAGATATTTTGTCATCCTTAAAAAATTTTCTAGACTCAAAATAAATAAAATTCTTCAGAAAACTTCTCTTTACTTCGAAATCTTGCGGTGGGATTTGGAATGCCGAAAGTTTGTGGTTGTAAACTTCTTGATGTGTCTCTTTGCTTTCTTGAATCGAAAATAAATTTCTGTTCTGCATTGTGTTTGTTATTTATCAAAACCTGAAAAAATAATTTTAAGAAATATTTAAAGGGGTTTGAACTCATGTCCAACAATGTCAATCTCTTGGGGTTGAAGAGAGTAGCTAGTAGGGGTCAAGTTTTTTTAAATGAAAAAGGCGTGGTAAAGTTAATAAGTTGGTAAGTTACCTGTACACTTTTTGTAAACTTTCATCATTTTTCACTCTTATAAAATTATAAAAAGTCAACTTGAGAAAATCCATATTTTCAGGAGGGAGGGAGTATGTAAACTGTTAGTTCTTGGTTCAGTTTTCATTTTTTTATTTATTAAAAATATTTTTTTTTTGTAAAAATGAGTATTCTCTTTTATCCTTACAAAAGAGTAGTACGTTTTTAGAGTAATAATATTAAAATTTAACAACATCTAAATATGAGAAACCATGTTTAATGAAATAAAATTGAAAATTATAAAAATATCTCATTCGAATACATAAAAAAATAAAAGAAATATTTGCACTAAATAGCACAAAAACTTAAGTCATTTCCCTAAATAGCACTTAAATTGTTTTATTTCTTAAATAACACTTAATAATGTCCATAATGTCCTGTGATGACGAATATTAACTTGAATAATGACTAATACATAATGACTAAAAGTACTACATTGAAAAGAAAAACACATGTGGTGCTATTTAGGGAAAGTCATTATGTTTTAGTTCTATTTAAGTAAATTCCTCAAAATAAAATGTTAATGTTAATATTATTGGAGATGATAAGGAATCAAATAACATAATCAATTGCTTTTCTTACTCTGTTGTTTCTATAATTATTTTTCTAATTATGATTAAGATTATCTCTTGTAATCCTTACATATAAGAATTGAAACTTTATTATTCAAAGAGACGAATTATTATCAAAGTTGATGGAGTAAATTAACCACCCGGGCAAACTGTACTAGACCGGGTCTAGGATATTTTGCTCAGCTTAGAGAATGAAAGGTGCAGAAAACAAGAAATGATCGGGCTAAAGTTCAATTGTTATTAAATATGTAGAAGAGAACGGGAAGATATTACACAATATGCTTTAGAGACATAAAGTTCAGATTCCTTCATTTAAGGGTTACAAAGGTATTTATAGGAAGATGGAGGGAATAGAGCGCCACGCGCCCGCATCAGCCCACGTTCTTAGACGGCATGAGGTGACTTCTTCTTGTTCTGTAGTGTGTTGTCCTATTTTCTCATTCTCTCATGCTGATGACACCTTCTTTGGCGCGTAGTGCCTAGTTGAGGATGTTGGAATATTCCATAATCTTCTATAAAATCGGTCACTACTGTCCAACCACCTTTGGAGCTATCCGTGCTGACACTTTCACAGTATAGTAACTTACCGGGTACGTTCACTGGTCATGTGTTCTGAAGGGACAGAAGACCGCCAGAATGAAGTCATGAACTCTGACTGGTAAATCACATATCGTACCGTTTCTGATATACTTGCATCTGACCGGTCAGTTGTTGTGGACCCATATTCGAACCGGATCCTGGGTGGAATACACCCATCAAAAGTGTATTATGGCATCGAAGTAAGGGTTTCTCCCTCTCCCAAAACTGTGTGTGTGTATATAAAGCGACGTAACAGAAATTCAACTTATTAGGTTTGTCACAATTTCCAATCTGGGAGAAATATTCGAATATGAATAGAAGTTGGCCGGGTCTGAGGGGGTCATCGGAAGGGGGTGGGGGGTGTGTTTGAGTCGGGGCGGGGTGGTGGGTTTACTGGGGGGTTAGGGGGATATGAAACGTCAATTTTACAAACGGGGCACCGGAACACTCCCGGGTCATCCCATGACATTGCCCGGGAACCTTGGTGTTTTTTGAATTAGAAGCTTTGGAGTACAAGTAGATTTATTTTTGAAAAAATTGACCCTACTTGTACCGCAAAGAATCATACTCAATTATATTATACACCCGGTTGTATCTAATTTTGGATACAACCAAGAAATTATTTATGGTATGAATTTTATATTATATGAGAATGAATACTAAGTTATTTGAGAATGAGTACTGTTTTGTTTCAGAATGAACACTACATTATTTGTAGACGAGTATTATAGTAATTATATTGAACTAATGTGCGAAAATGAGTATTATATTATTTTAAAATGAGTACCACGCTAATTATATTTCTGCGAGAACGAGTACTACTCTATTTCAGAATGAGTACTACCCAGATGCACCGTACATCCGGTTGTATCATATACCTTCTCTACTTTGATAATGTGATAAAATGTTTTGTTGGTACACGTGTTGTTTGTGTATAAGTTTGACTTGCAATTGTGGATCTAAGGATTTGAATGTTAGGGTTTGGGTGTACGGAAACTGGTTTGGTATTGGTGGTGAGAGAAAGGGAGAGAGGGAATCAAAAGCAAGCCAAGCCAGTGGGGAATGAAGCTCCCAAAGATACCAAAACCAACGGTGTGGAAGCTGCACGAGATATTGGCGGAAGATGATCCGGTGAGATTGAGGGGATTCTTTGGAGGCGACGAAGACGAATCGGATGACGACGGAGTGCCTGTCGAGTACGAGGAGGTGATGACGGGATGCCTAGAACACGGCGCCAAGAAATGCGCCTCTTATATGCTCCGCGGTGCTTCTCACTCTTACAGACGCGATCTTCTCCACCAAGCCTTTCAAATCCCTACTTGTGACCCTGAAGTTTTAGAGCTTTTTTTGGAGCGTTTTGGTGGCCAGGAGTATGCAAACAGTCCTGATTTCGGTGGTCCGCCGCCCATCCACATCTTCCTCTCCAAGCTCAGTAAGATCTTTCCTTTGTGCATTTGGGTTCCGGGCAGTTCTCTCGTCAAGCTTCTCATCCTCCTCTGTGATCCTCAACTCCGGAAGAAGCTCCATTGTCTCTGCGCTTGCTTGCTAATTACACACACTCCCTACCCGAGGTTGCTGCTTCCTTTCTTTCTAACGGTGGCGTTGTTGAGCTGGCTGCCTTGCTTTTTGTCGCCCATTCATCTCTTCTCCACCCTCTAAAATCGCGTCATTTTGAGAATCATCCCTCCTCAATGAAGGACGTGAATGAGATGGTTACACGGGCTGTAATCCGCAAATTTCCAAATCCGAGTGGGTTTGGATTGATCAACATTTTCGAAAAGGCTGGTGGTTCCCTCACCCATTTCTACTCCAATATGCCTCAAGATGTATGCTTTGTTAATATGTATATGCATATACAATAAGTTGTGTTTGTATGAGGGCGGCTGGGCAGGCAGGCTCCATCTGATGAATGGGTTTTTGTTTTTTTGGATGGTTTCAGATTTCTGGCCAGGATCTGGTAAAGAGTGTTGCTGAGATTCTCATCCGTGATGCTCAAATTCCGGTATCTGAAGAGGATGTTGACTTGGTTGGAATTTTGAGGTGTGCCCTTCTTTTATTGTTGGGCTTACTTTCACTATTGCTTATTAACCTTGATTTGATACGTCACTATGCTTTGTCTAACTTTTGATCGAGCTTCTTATGTTTGCCAACAATACCTGCAGCTTGGAACCTGAAATGATGCCTTCCATTCACCAACATCTGCGGGGTAAATTCATACGGAGTCCTTTTATTTTTATCGTAACAACACTTTCTTTGTCAAAATTAAGCTTGCTTGCTGCAATGTTGAACCACGGTCATTGCTGGCATTCCAAGTATGTATATGTATGATGACAACACTTGCTGTTGTGCCTTTTGAATTTCAGGTATTAAACCAAAGGATGGCAGAGAAAAGTCTCACAAGCATATGTTCCCCTCTGTGCGCTCTCCTGATCTCCTGTACTCGTTGGAACCGGTGGGAGTAAATATTTTAACTTCTCTTGTTTTTCCTAACCAACTTTAGTGTAGCCCTTTATTATATCAATTTTGGTTTGTTCAAAAACATTACTTCCTTTTCGTCAAGGTCAACTTCACAAAGTGCTAAAAACCTTATACTCCATATTTTTCTTTCGTGTTTTTATTTCTTATGCTCTTTTTTTTCTTTCTTTTGGACCCCTTTATATTGCAAGTAATTGTATTAGCTCTTGTTTACGTGAAGTGATATGCATTCTTCTCTAACAATGGTTATTCATTATTGCTGATCCAGACTCCTGATTATACCTTTGTAAGCCCAGTCTTCCTCTTTTCTAACTAAAATCTCATGTTGGGCCTTTATGAAGCCTTCAAGTCTTGTGTTGAACATCTTCTATTTGGCATTGCGCCATAGAGTCTTTTTCAATGTTGATGATCAAAGTGAAACTAGGGTGTACATGGAGATGGTCTAGAGACGCGAACATACCTGTTTAAACCTAGTTCTTCTCTTTTCAATTTAAATATGTTTGGTTTTTACAAAGTCTTCCATCTGGGTGTTTCAACGTCTTCTCTTTGGTGTCAACAAAGATGCACAAAAGAGGCTTTTACAATGATGATGACTCCATATGGAGGGATTACACTTGTCATAGCACTCCTTTACTAATGAAAACATTCTTTTTTTGTAGGAAAGGGTTACAAATATCTTACCTGCTCGACTACAACTGTTCCTCAAAGCACGATCTAGGCATAGCTCGGGGAACCGGCTATATTCTACTGCAGCCTTCCAGTATTTGAGAACAAAGGCAACTTCACAAGCTTGCTTTTCTCCATCTCGAACTCCCACATTAAGGATCATGACATCTCTGGCAATGAGGCTTGGAAGGGACATCAGGTTTCTCTGATTGCAGGTATCTTACTAATTCAAGTAATTAAATACCTATGTATGTCTCATCCTTTAATTTTAGTCATATATGAGCAATTTTTTCTAATTTTACATTCCGCCATATGCATGTCTCATGCTTTATTTCCATGTGTAGTAGTGTGTATATTTGTGCTAGTTCCGTTCAAATTAATGAGGGATGTCCATTCCTAACATTTAGAGATGTCAACGAGTCGGGTTCGGGTCATATAGTACTCTATATTATACGCATGTTTTAATTTTACAATAAAAACAACAGATAGATACTCCCTCTATTTCTTAAAATAATTGTTCTTTTATTTTTTCTTTCCCCAAAGTATTTTCATTTTCTATTAGAAAATCACTTTTATAATTTTGGTGATATACGTAACGTTACCTCTACTAGTTTGACAATATTAATAAAAATGATAAAAAAATTAAAGAAAATAAATTCTAATAACTCAAATAAAATTAACATTAATAATTAATCTTTTATATATTTACACTTAATTTTTGAGTCAATATAATTGCGAGATTGATGACTTACATTAACACAAAATGTCAATGAAAAATTTTGTAATTACACTAACATTTTGTGTCAATACAAATCATCAAAATGTAAATATAAATCTTTGAATTATGTTTTAGGATACATTTAACATGGTTGGATAAGAAATGTGTAGTATAAAGAGTGGTGGTGTGCAAGTTTACCCCTACTCTAATATAACATCATTGCTGAATCTTGGATCAAATTTATGAGAAAATTCGAACAGTGCATGCAGTAGTGCAACACATTGACAACCACCTGTTGCATCATTTCTTTCTCTGTATACGTGCACCAAGTAGGCTAGTACTGCACTACTGCATGCACTGTTTGAATTTTTCTCATAAATTCGGTCCAAGATTTAGCAATGATGTTATATTAAAGTAGGGGTAAACTTGCACACCACCACTCTTTATAGTTTATACCACACATTTCTTATCCAACCATGTTAAATGTATCCTAAAGTTTGTATCCAAAGATTTATATTTACATTTTGATGGTTTATATTGACACAAAATATTAGTGTAATTACAAAAATTTTCATTGATATTTTGTGTTAATGTAAGTCATCAATCTCGCAATTATATTGACACAAAAATTAAGTGTAAATATGTAAAAGATTAATTGTTAATTTTATTTGAGTTATTAGAATTTATATTCTTTAATACTACCGAAATGTGTAAATTTTATGTAAAAGATTTATTGTTAATTTTTTATCATTTTTTATTAATATTGTCAAAGTAGTTGGGGTAACGTTACGTATATCACCTAAATGATAAACGTGATTTTCTAATAGAAAATGAAAATATTTTGGGGAAAGAAAAAAATAAAAGAAAATTATTTTAAGAAATAGAGGGAGTATCTATCTGTTGTTTTTATTGTAAAATTAAAACATGTGTATAATATAGAGTACTATATGACCCGAACCCGACTCGTTGACATCTCTAAATGCTAGGAATGGACGTCCCTGGAGGGTTCATGGGGTGGGTTAGGGAGAGGGTAGGAACTGTCAATTTTGTGAACGGAACACCGGAAATGCCGTAAAATGACAGTGGCACCGCTAGTGTCACCAAAAGTGGGTGTCACTAGAACTTCATCGATATATATAGTGAAAGAAATAAGAACGCATTTCCACCGTTAGATTTAGTAGATGTCATCAATGATGTGATTGCATCACTTAAGGGTAATGGTGTATTTTCATATGTTCTAAATCTCAAATTGTTTCCAGATTTCTCTTCCAAACTTGATTTGTCTCATCCTAATTCAATTTTTTTCTCCATTCTCAGGATTTGCTTTTCCCAACAGAAGTTTATGGTTGTGTCTGATGTTAATACCTATTCGCAGTTCTGTATGGATTCCAATATTAGAATTTCACATGTTTGCATCTATCATTCATGTGTTAAAATTCTTGCATCTATCTTAGTGCATTTAATTTTTTCTGAAATTTACTTAGAATTTCACATGTATTGATTTCTTATTTTGTTTGTGGACTTCCTAGATTCATTTTATTTCGTTTAATTTTATCTTGGGAATTCTAGTGTTTATCTAAAGTTTTTATATATAAATATATGTGTGCATTTGATTGATTTTTTGCCTAATTTAGACTGTGTTTTTTGTTTGTGGACTTACATGATGCATTTTTAACTTTTTGTTTGCTTTTTTATTATACTGTTAGAAATTGTATGGCTTGACAATGTTATTAGACAATTCAGTGTTCATTGGGGGTGTACATTACAGATTTATTTTCATTTTTCTTTACATTTTATTTGTTTTTTAAAGTTATTGTGCATTATCATAATCTATGTATACATTAACATGAGAAGACTATGCATTCTCAGAATCAAGGTAAGAGGAATTTACGTAAATGGAGGATTTGAGCCTAACCGTGGCCACGACCCTCGATCATGGGCACACTCACGCGTGGGAGGGGCGGTTTTCCGCGTGGTCATGCATAAACGTGGCAATGCCACGGCAGACCACGGGGCGGATGGGCATGGGGCATTACGCCCAATCTCACCAGTTACCCCTAGACTTTCCAAAGAGCAGTTCGAAAATGTGTGTTTTATATTAATAAATATTCCCTTCGTTCATCAATAAAGTTCTCGTTCACTATTCACGGGGTCAAAGTTTATTCACTTTGTTGGCCTATTTTTGTGTCTTATTTGATAAAATAATATAGTTATGTCACCTCTAGTTTTGTAGATCTTTTTATGTAGTTTTTAAATATGTAATTTTTATTTTTTTAATTCCATACCATATTTTATATGAAATGATTTGAAAATAATTTCAGTCAAACATCGTAACGCGTAATGGGAACTTTATCAAAAAAAAGACATTTAAAAAAATCACTGTTTTACTTTTCCCTTCGGTTCCTCAAATTCTTTCATCATTTAACCCTCGAAACTATGGAGTAACTTTCTTCAGTTCACTTCCGTCTCTCTCCCAGCTTTTCGTCCGTGCGAAGCCGACCCTACCACAGTAGTTATAAACTACAAATCTATTCCTTTTGCTTTAAATTTGCCGAATTCAAAATCTATTCATCCTTTTGCTCTAATTTCAATCACGCCAATCCTAGGATAAATTCAATTGCTTTAAATTTGATAAATCTTTTTGTTTTTTTATAAATCTTTTTTATTTTTTTATAAATCTTTTTGACTTTTTTGTTTGGGCCATAGTTTTCCATAGAATAAATACTATAAGAGTCTCATTACACTCCATACAGAAGTACATAACTACATACCATCTTGGGACATAAATTGTGAATAAAACAAAACACCAATTTCCAACAAGAACACAAATTGTCGGCGTTTCATATTTGCCTACATCAACGTTTGTGTCTCGCGAACTTCTTTGATTTCTTGAAGGCAATCAGTGAACTTCAACTAAACAGGTTGCAGAATGAGCTGCCGGTTTAACCTTGGTACTCATACTCCGTCGACATGTGACCAAAAACGAATAAAAAATGCCTAAGAATTAACATCAAAGAATGAGACCTATCCAGTGAGTTAAAATTGTATAAACTCAAATACTCCGTACAATTTAGTTTAATACAATTTTTCTTTATTGATTTGATAAAGGGGTAAACAAGGTCTGAGTAAACTGGAAACAAGAAACAACAAACATTTTGTGTAAACAACAAACATAAAATGAGTAAACAAGGTCTGAGTAAAATGAGTGAATTGTCTTCTTGGCAAACAAGGTCAGAGTAAACAATTGGCAAACATTTTGACTAAAAAAATTTGAGTAAAAAATCAAATTTTTACTCATATAAAGAAGAGTATAAATTTTTTTAAAAAAAATGAGTAAAATTTGAAAAAACTCATGTTCCTAAAGAATTTGAGTATAAAAAAAGTCGAACAATTTGAGTAAAAATTGTAAGAACTCGAAATTTTTACTCAAAATTCAAAATTTGAGTAAACAATTGGCAATTCATCTGTCGCCTGTGCGCAATTGGCAAAAAATTCAGATCTGTAGAATTGGCAGAAAAATTCAGATCTGTAAAAATTTTTACCTCGTGGCTCTGTGCGCAATTCATCCGTCGCCTCCAGGGAGCGCATCGCCGCGGGTCACTCATCCTCATCGTAGTTGGGTGGTGTCGAAGAGAGAGAGAGAGAGAGAGAGAGAGAGAGAGCGAAGAGAAGACAGCGAGAATAAAACTGGGAGAGAGACGGAAGTGAACTGAACTCCATAGGGTTAAATGACGAAGGAATCTGAGCCTTAGATTTAAAATTAGTGGAGATGGAGGGTAGAGATTAAAAGTGGCTTGGGAAGACACTCTCACTTGGAGTGGCTGTGGAACGGAGGAAGAGAAGGTACACGTTTCTCATTGCTAATACAAAATTTAAGCGACTACCAAAAAAAGAGAAAAAAATGAATAAAATTTGACTATGTAAATAATAAATATGTAATTTAATTTGTGACGAAGGGAGTATAATTTTGGTAAATACTGCAAACTCTTTTCTTGGTAGTAAATATTATGAATCAATCTCAAACAAATTTAAATCAAACCTAAAATACAAAAAACTAAACTAGTTCCGATTCCATAACAGTTCCAATTCTGGTTCTAGTACCAAAAATTAAGAAACAGAACCGAAACCATTTCTAACTCCAGCACCGGTTCCAAACGAGAACCGTGTCCAACGAATAGACAAAAACATTTTTAGTGTATTGTTGCAAGAAGCCCATTGCAAACATAGAACATCAAGTTTTGGCATTGCACAGTTCAACTTTCATATTTAAAGTGTTCAAGTTTGATATAAGAGATTTAGTGGAAGTGGCGCACAAGGTGAGGATGGCAAGAGAAAAAGAAGCAGAAATGGGTTTTCATGTGGCCAAAGCTGCTGATAAGGCTACGCACCATGAAGCCAAGCTCTCATCCCATAACCATGATGAACAACAACCACCCTCCTCTTATGCCACCACCGCCACCCCTGATGGCGGTGCTGATCTACCGGCCACCAGTCGCCCACCGTCTGCCACCATTTTGGACGCCCAAGGGAACCCCATCCCACACTAGTCTCCTTCGTTTAATTAAATAGTCCTTATTTTGTACGCGATTTTATTGTTATCGTTGTTATTGTTGTACTACTACGTAGTACTTCGTCTGTCTTTTAAGATTTTTCAAATGTTAGTTAGAATATATGTATGAAAGGAAAAAAATGAACCACAAATTCCCAGTCTTAATAAAATATTCTAGGATGGATTAAAATGGGAGAATGCAGTATTTTGTGTATTAAAGATTACATTGACAGGACATAATTAAAAGAGAAATTAAAAATATACGTAGTAGGCATTTTGTTTGAGTATCAAAACTTGGTGAATCCTTATTTGGGGAATACTTTGGATGGATAATAACATCCTTAAAACCAAGCAAAATGTTTCTCGTAGTAACCCCAAAAGGAATGCACATTACTTACAAAATTGATACTATCAAGCTTTAAGAAAAAAAATATATTTACAAACCCCAAATGCAGGGAAATAAAAAAATTAATTGAAGAAAACGAATCAAAATTTAGAGGGTTTGGAAGGGAAAAGCTCACAGTTTTGTGATTTGATCTGGGAGCATCTCTTCATCCAACCTTGACATTGATGAATATCGGTTTTGGTGACATTTAAAATGCGATTTTGCTTCTCAACATTCTCGATCAACAGCCTGAGCAGTGGCACTTTAGAAAGTGTAGCACAAGATCCCACCATTATCAACTTCTTCTGTTTAATTTGAAAAGAATAGAAAATCCAACACATATGTCAATTTGAGCAAGGACTTTTTAGGCAAAGAGAAACTTCTCTACAGATGTTTCTCCATAACATAAGAAAAGATGGATAATTTGCTACTTGAGTCCCTGAATCATGAAACTTTGGCTATTTTAGTCAGGGATTGTTAACATTTACAAAAGCTGTTACTGGTTGAGCACCCTAAAGCGGGCTGTAGTTCATCTATAATCTGGTAACAGTGGGGGATTAAATTACTGCAACTTAGGGGACAAAATTGCCACAAAGGGGCATTGACAAAGGGGTGTTTTTTCTTTTGCAAAAGTTAAGAAGATATTATGTTGATATAGCTGATTAACTGGAGGACTAAAAAACAAAATCTACCCAAAACGAGATTTTCAAAACAGGTAACCTTTGCACGTGTAAGAGCAACATTGATCCGGTGCCAGTCTCCAAGTAATGTAGAAGCACAGCCCTTTGGGTTTTCATTTGACCTAACAAATGACACCAAAATGCAATCTTTATCTCTGCCCTGCAATGGAGATAATATGAAAATCCAGTATTAAGCATCAAGAACATGATAGCAAGTAGCAACCAAGATATTTTCTTTTCCCTTAAAAAAATAGAATTCAATAAAATATAGAAAACAAAGTGAAGCCTATTAAATCAGCATGCTTTTATCCGTTTAAGTCTCTGCACTATTTTTCACAATTTTAACTTTTTAAAAAAAGAGCCATTTGGTTCTAAAAACAATTATTAAAAAGGGAAATAAGAGACACTGCACCTATGAACCCAAGCATAAATTCAAAGCAAACCTGATATTTGTCAATTGTATGTATCTCAACTGATGTTGAAACGAATTGCCTGATAAAATCTGCCTGGGAGTTGTAGGGTGTAATGATGCCCATATCTTCCTGTGAAATGCCAACTTGCAACAACTTCTTTGTTACCTATATAAAGAAGAAATAACATTAGAGAGAATTTTGTGTTGTATGTGACTGAAAAACAGAAAACAGTAAGGATGAAACCTCAGCGATAATAAACGCTTCCATTGGATTGTTTATAGTTTTGTGTCCATTTGTCTCAAACGCTAGCAACGAATCTAACATGGGATGTCACAGAAAATATCAGACCAGACATGCACTATGAGAACTGCTAAATTCTTATCATTTTGGAGCTTTTCACCTACCGGTGTTGATAAATATTACAGGCTTGGCAGGATTCAAAACCTGCAAGCATTAATAAACTGCCCTGGTTAAAAATATACTCAGTATACGATTCACATAAATGCAGTAAATACATTGAAAATTACCTCTTTCATCCATGAAGGTCCACCAGCTATAGGAGAAGAATAGGTTAGCTTCGCGTTCTTCACTTCTGAAGATCCACAACGTAGCCTGTTTCCATATATCAAGGTATTTGATAGTTCCATTACTTCTTTGCACATACGATACTGCAAGGCATAGCATAGTATTATTAGTTGTTCTCTAGAGTAGAATTCAGAACTAAGGGGAGATATATATCTTATTACTATATTCTTACATATTATATATATATATATATATATATATATATATATATATATATATATATATATATATATATAATTGTACACAATTTACCTAAAAATATATTGTACTCCCCCGTCCCCAAATAAATGTTACAATTTTCTTCAGTCCATCTAAAAATATCACCTATTTTATTTTAATCTTTGCAAGATTTCTCTCTCTGAATAAATTGGAGCCACAATTTTATTTCCTTGAACTTTAGCCCGGTCAGACAAGGCATGTGGTACTAATAAAGGAAAATGACTGAACTAGAAATAAAACATAGAGAGAGTACCAAAATAGGAGTTACAATGTCAATATATAATACCAAAAAAGTTATTTTCTAGTCTAAAACTAACAAATGAAATAAGTTAATAAAAAAACCAACAATCTCCTCCCCTCCAAATCCCCCAACCAAACAAACCCTACAAGATTACTGAGCATTTTAATTGAACGGTAAACTTAACCTGGCTTTGCAAAGCTGAAATGGCTTGAGGATGTGCTTCTGAGAGCCTGCAGAACAGACTTACTGCCATTCCATTCTCTTTCGCCTCTGAACTCTACAGTTGAAATACAATTGTTAGCCTTAAGTAACAGCTAGGAGCTGAAAATAGTCTAGAGAATTAAAGACCTGGACAAGTGGTGGTAATTGATAATGATCCCCTACAAGAACAAACTTTGACGCAAACATCAATGGCCCTAAGGAAACCTGTAATAAAGATTGGCATCAAATGTTAACCTACAAGTACAACAAACCCAGTATAATCCTAACTTTGTGGATTTTTTACGCAAATTTACCCGAGTTAAAGAATAGATAGAATGTTTCCATTAGACCCTTTATGCATTGATTCATTTCTTGCCCATAACTCCATAGAAAATGAGAAACGATGGAGGTTTAATGTGCCATTTTGACAATGGGCACTATTACTTTTCAAAAATGACTCTTTTAGCTATATTGGCAATGGGCACACTATTACATACGATACGAAATTGACAATGCATATTAAGCATATAATATTCACAAGCATGAGGTGAATTATTCCCACTACAATGTACAAAGTAGGTTCAGAGCAATTCATTCTTTCAGTTTCAGCATGTGAAATGAACGTGCACCAAAGATTTAGTAGAAGAAAAATACAAAATACAGCTGGTTTACGCCACATATTTCGATTATCTCAAACCATACCAGATTTAAAATTCTATAATGATTGATGTAAGAAACAAGAATTATGAACACACATACAGGCAATGTAGTTTGCCCTGCTTCATCCATGATGCACACATCAAATCTCTTTTTTGCCAGTAAAGGGCTAGTTATCCCCAAACACGTAACTCCAACAACTTTTGTTTTCTCTAGCCTTTGCTTGATGTCTCCAATGCCACAGAGTTTGGTAGCTGACAAATTAACAGGAACATCAATTAGAACATGGTCTTCAGTAAAGAATGTGAATTCTAAGGAAGGCCGAAGATCCTACTTGATATGCAATATTCACGGACATCCTCGTGTACAGCTTCATCTCTTCCTATACGTATGAAATCTATATCCTGCAATAGTTCCAACCATTATTGTGCTATGCTTGCTTAGTGGCAAAACACGAAATAATGAATATAAATGTGGTTGTACTTCACAAATTACAATGACACAAGTTTTAAAAACTATGAGGATCATGGTTGGAAAACCAAACAAACCCAACCGAAGTAGGGCCTAAGATGAAGATGTACGTATACCCTACTTCTACCCCCAGAAGTAGAGAGCCCGAAAGGATCCCGATAAATGGTAAAAAGTGAGTAGTAGTTAAAGGAAAGAAAAAACATGCAAGCAAGCTAGTAAACATGGAACTACTAATTTAATTTTTTGGGGAGTGTCCATATGTGAAAATAAACACTCTTGCACCGGTAGAGATTATGTCATATTATCATCACTCTTCGTAGTGTAACCTAAGTCTCGAACTACTAAATAAAATTGTAGTTATAATACATAAACCACAATTTGGCATCACCCTGAACGCCTATCACAAAAAGCACTAAATCAGGTTGCTCTCCTTTCTCAGAAAAAGTACGCAAAGGAAAAAATAAAAATAATGTACTAGGACAAAAATTATAAATACGTCGCTAGGACAAAATAATCAATAAAAAAATGATCTATTTTGTTTGCCTATTTTTGTTACTCATTTGGTAAAATAATACAATAATATCACATCTTGTTATGTAAAACATTTACAAAACAAGATGTGACATGATTATATTATTTTATCAAATGAGTAACAAAAATATACAAAATTTTTACCAATTTTTTGTCATAGTGGGGTATTTTTTTATTTTTCTTTTTGTCATAGTGCAGTATTTTTATTTTTTCCTTTGCGTGCCTTTTGTGAGAAAGGAGAGAAAAATGATTTACTGCCTTTTGTGATGGGCATTCAGAGTGATGCCAGATTATGCCTAGTGCATTATAATTAAAATTACATTTAGTAGTTTGTGACTTGGGTTAAACTACGAAGAGGGATGGAATTCTGATCTCTCTCATTTGTCTCTTCATCCAATTCAGTGTGTTGTGATTTGATCCAAACAAAGCGTCTCTGTTTATTAAGAATCCTCTCAGAGAAAGCCTCTCTATTCCTTGGGGTAGGTCTACGTAGCTCCCCCAATTTGTCTCATGAATGATATGTATTGGGTATGATTGGTTTGAAGTGGTTTAAGCAAGCTTTACTTGGGTCTTAGATGACAAAGCTTGGTCCAGGCATGCATACTGGAGAAGCAGTATATAGTTCTATACTTTATTCTTCTCATCACCAATGACCCTTAGGACCGACAAAGGTATGTGCATAGCAGTGTTTTTTTACTCCGTATGTGTGTAACAGTGTATGTCTCGCATCTTGTGTATCAAAGAAAAGACATTATCTTTGTGCCTAGTTTAGCATCAACCTATAGTTACTTTTCAGTAACTTTCAAACAATTAGATCAGATATCTTGTGTGCATATGGACTTTCTCATATAAAACAAGTTAAAAGATACAAACCAAATAAATGCTTATCTTAATATTAAGTAAATGCTTATCAGTAACATAAGAAGGTCCATGTGCACCTTAGGTGCGCATAAGAATTTTCCAGACATATAATGTTTGGTTTAGAATCAAGCTATATACACATTTTTTATTAGTCGAGAAACTGGAGAACATATTAGAATGTCTTTGGAGAAGTTTACTACACGTACAATCTATTTTGAAATATTTTAAAAGATAGAATGTACCTGAGCCTTCAATTTGAGAAGCAAATTATCAACAGCTGAATTTGTGTATGATGTAAGCAAAATGGATGCACCTCTCATTAATAATGCCTTCACAGCATGCACCATAGTGGATGTTTTCCCTGTTCCAGGCATTCCTAATATGAGCGCATAGTCCTTTGCTGTAAGTATCTGCATTTTTTATCATTTGAGCAAGCGAAATTATATGCCTAGAAAATATGATATGCCCAGAAAACTAAGGATGCCTAACCTTAAGTATAGCCCTTCGCTGATCCCCATTCAATGTTTTCTCAGACCAGATGTACGAAATAGCAGGATCTTGACTAAAGATGCATCCACTATCAAATATAGGCACCTATAACATATCAGCATCATAAGGATCCTACCAAATTGGTGTTGTCTTCTGCTTCAATTTCCTTTTATGAAAGCTAGGTTAGCCCCATAATGTTTTTGAGAATTTCAAAATTGACAAGAGAGAACATTCACCTTAAGATCAACAATCATCTTCCTGAGATGTTTACTCTCTTCATTTTGCATAAACAGTTGTAGAAGGTTGAATCTTCAAAAATTATTTATAAAAATAGTTAAAACGTGTCAAAGTATAATATGGAAAACTATGGGTACTTTAATAAAATCATATAATACTGAAACCTTGACAAAAGGAGCTACTACCTCATGATCGGAAATGATGACGTAGCCTCATCTTTGTCAATCCGCCAAGATTGCTGATGGAGATCTTGCAATCTACTTCCTGGAAGCCTTAAACATTTTGAAAATGATACCTATAAATTTATGGAAAAAGATTGAATCAGAATACTGGAAAGAACTTTTTTGCATGTAATTGCGACAAAATATAGAAATGACACAGCTTTTTAATTATTTAAAAAAACCTAGAGCACATACAGAGACGTGAGAGTTACTTATATCTGTAATGATTCCACTAGCAATAAGTAAACGGCCAGGTTGAGTGCTCAATATCTGAAATAGTATAAATGAAATAGTTAATACTACTATTTGATAATGCAACAACAACAAACAACCCACCTAATAATATGAAAATCCCACAAAATAGAGTCTGGGGTAGGACTTGGGAGTACACAGACCTTGCCCCTACCAAGAATAGGTAGAGAGATAATGCAGCAGAACAAATAAAATAATCAAAGCAAATACAAACAATCAGGATGTAGTTGGTTGAACCAAGAAAACAAAAAAAACAATTTATTCAATTCAGAAATAAATGCTTAACAGAAAAAAATGAATGTACTGATAAATAAAAAAGTTGATACAAGTACTAGTAGGACAAGTGAATCCTAAAACATGTATATATGATATAATGCAGATGCAGAGTATTAACAGCCACTTATTATATTTGAAGCTTGGTAAATCATTATATCAATTATCAAGCTTGCACTGCTTTTGTAGATCACGATGGACTCCATTTGAACTGACGTCTTCCCTCCACTCCCCTAACTACAGTGTAAAACCCAATCTCTAAACAATTCATACATAGTTATCATGCTAGTTATGAGCCGGGGGTCTCTATGGAAACAGCCTCTCTACTTTCGAGTAGGGGCAAGGTCTGCGTACACAAACCCTCCCCAGACCCTACTCTTGTGGGATTTAACTGGGTTGTTGTTGTTGTTGTTATCATGCTAGTTATGCTGTAAGTGTTGTTTACTAAGGAGAAAGAAAATACCACATAATCCCCATTCCTAAGTCTGGATTCCAAATTTTTCATGGGAAGAGAACCATCTGAATTCTGTTGATCGATGCTGGTTGGATGCAAACTTTGGTGCACAAAGTGATAAACAAACCGGTTTCCTTTGCAAAAGGTTTTCTGACCTTGTTTATCTAAAGGGGTTATAACAAGAGGAGATAGGGATGAGAAAGAATCTTCAGTTACTGAACCACATGAAGTCCAGATTTCCTTCTTTGCAAACTGCAATAGGATTCATTTTCAGGAGGCATTTTGAATAAAACATACATTATCACACTCAATTTTTAAGTTATAATACCTCCGCTTCCTTAGCCTCCAAGTCAATCAGTCGATCCCATTTTTGAAGAAAAATAGCATGTGCAGTAGTTAGATGCTCAACAAGTGAGTCAAACAGATTTCCAAGTCCACTACCACTAGTTGTGCCACCGTATGCCTACGCCATTAATATAACATGAAACAATGATGTGAGAAGTAAATAAATAAATAAATAAATTCACATCATCTAAGTGTGTGAATTAACACAACACCAATTAGCTCATCTACTAAGCATAACTTTGGTATATCTACTTGAAGGTAATAACATGAGTAACTACTTCCCATGTATCAAAGGTGGACAATGGAACTATTTTCACACAATTTACGTTGTACATTTTTCCTAAGAAATAACTCTGCAAAATTTCACCTATTTTTTATTGGTTTGAAAACTTGTCCTTAAGTAATGAAACAATACCAAATTTAAGAGATCCAAAGAGATCTGTGAGATAGATGATGAGTCCCTTTCCCCTGGCTAGAAGAGGAAGAACTTCAGATCCTATAGCCTTGAGTTGTAACTAATTGCTTCAGCAATGATTTTATTAATAAAATTAGTTGAATATAAATAGGTAAAATCCTTACAAGAGACCTACCATAATCATACTATGAAATCAAAACAAAAAAATCCTTATTAGGAATATAAACTAAATTGAATATGACTACTAATAGGAGAATAATAATGATCCCCTTTAGCAATATGAAAAAGACTACTAATAGGAAACTAATAATAATAATAATAATAGGGCAAGGATCTTTTGTTCTTGGTTAAAATGACCTTGAAATGACCTTTGCTTTTGGGGCATCTACGGTGCTCCATTGGTAAAATTGATTGTTCCTACCCCCTAAAACCCAGCCCCCCTCCCTTGCCCCCCTAGATCCCGATTTGGGCTGCCCAAACCGACGATATAAGGGGCCAGGGGTGGGATGCAGGGGAGTTTGGGGGATAGGAACCATCAATTTTATGGACGAAGCACCGTAGGTGTCCCAGGTCATTTGAAGGTCAAATTAACCAAGGTCAAAAGAATCGTGGTGGTGGTGGTGGTGGTGATGATGATAATAATAATAATAATCATAATAATAAAGGGATATATTACACATTCTTCGATCACGGACATGCTATAAGTATTGGAGGCATAATGAATCCCTTGCATAATTAAAGGTGAAGAAACAATGGTCTATACTCTATACTCCCATGTGAACAAATAACAGACATATGTGTATTGATGCTAAAGAAAAGTGAGCAAGATAAGAAGAAATGCATCAGTCACCAAAAATATTGTCCAAACAGTAACCAGATCCAGAACATAATGGGGAGGGGGAATGAGAAAGAGAAGATGTAACTAAGGGAAGGGTTAATGAAAGCAAGGATTTCCAAATGTGATCCTTAGAAAGTTACATGAAAAATGGTTTTTTAATAATTGAAATAGTCATCTTACAGTTGAGCAACAAAAAACCCGTCAAAAGATGTTTCATACATAAACATGCAGACAATACACTAAATTTGCTTAGTGGCTTGGACAACCTAATTTAATTTATTTACCTTATGGTAAATACTACAGGCATTAAGATGTCGACATCCTTTGCATATGTTTGGACTCTGCATACCAATGAGAGATGATAACACAAATGCATTATAAGAACTTAGATAGTTACCTCCCAGAGCTTGAATTACTAAACAATATATGATAGCAACTAAAATTGACCTGTATCATTGGAGGAAGTTGTTGCGATGTTGATGCTCTTAGTAGATCATTTGCAAGTTCATTACGACGCATCAAAAGGCCAACCAGGTCTGATCTTTGAACTGTCATTCCCTATAGAAGGGCATGTATACATTAGGATATCTTAAGAGAGAAGAATATGTTAGCCTTGATAGAATGCATGTGGTTGATGATCTTACCTGTGTTTGATCCGTGTGGAGATAGTAAAGGAGCCCATAATCAATCATTTGTGAGTACCTTAAATTAAATGAATTTCATAGTCATTAATACCTCGTGAGTAGAGAAATAATCAAATAGGGTAAACTAAATAAATTAAGAAAAGGTAAAACACCTTTCAGACATTAAGATAGTATAAATCATCACTTGTGCATTATGTTCCATTGCAGCCTGCATACCATAGAAACCAAGTTTCAAAACAATACACAATAGTATGTGTTATGGAGAATCATAATGACTAAAAGGGAAGCTAATTGAAAAGGGATAAAAACTTGCCTGGCCAGTCGTTCCTTTCCCAGATTTGAATTCCAAAGGCACAATTACATCAGTAGCTTCATTGTTTATTTCAATGTTTACTTTCACAGAGGCATCAATCATCCCTTTCAAACCATATTTTGGGGCCCATGCCATTTCTTCAATATCAAGTACCTAAAAGTTAAGTTACTCAGTTCTATTTGGGTGTGGGAAACTACATGTGAAGCTACATTTGTTGTTACCAATGCAAATGGAGTTTAATGTATCATTTAAAGAACATGAAATTGTTATCCAAGTTTTATCTCCATAAAAATCAATTGAGCAAGTGTACCCTTGACTCCTTTAGTAGAAAAAGCTCATGAGTCTTTAAGCATGTAAAGGACGAGTAAAATAGTTGTGATCATGTGTAGTTAAGGAGTAACTCGATAAAGCAATCCAGAATCATGGACTTGTTGTAAGTACTACTCTTTCAGGAAACCTTGGTACTTTTGACAAAGTTAATAGAAATAAGAGCATGCATAATTCCAAGCCAGACAATGCCAAAACTTTAAAAAAGACGAAGCAAGATCAAATTTCTTACCTCCAAAATTTTGATCTTTTTCTCTTTATCTTCACTTCCAGGAGCTATATTTTGAATTTTGGATCCCTGGAAAAATTTATGAAAGCAAGTAGATTAGGAAATATGTTTTATCAGGTGGGCAAGCATGAACATTCCAAGATTAATTGTAACAGAAACAATTCTAATGGATGTTGTAGCACCAATCCACAAAAGGGCATATTTGCATGTTTATACCTCTGAATCACGGAAGAGATGTATCCAATTCAATATTTTTGGAATTGCCTCAACCAATATTGTGTGAGTCTCGTTTTCACCAACTGCAATAGATACAGAGTAAGAGTTCAAAAAAAAAGTAACATAGAGTATTCACACAAATAGTGTTTTGTTGGATTTAGTAATACATAATCCTAAAGCCTAATGTATGTCATGTCTCATATGTTGCCTAATGGATCAGTTGGATATAATGGTGTATGCCCCCCTTCAATAAAGACCACCCATGACTGCTAATGGGAAATGATGATTTGACAAAAAAAAACATATCACAGTTTCCACCTTTGCATGCATATAGACTCTCAAGGTTTTTGTGAATCAAGACTTGTGCATATTCCTCAAGAAATTCTTTTGTAGGAGATTCTCGCATAAGCCCAGCCTGGAGAAATAAAAGCAATGGTCCATATCATATATTTCCTCTCTCCCAAAAAAATGCCACATTATGCAAAACAAAGCAAATTTTTTTGTTTTTTTCAATTCATTCTACTTAAAGATTGGTATAGAAATACAAAATATAACTTAAATATTTAAAAACTACGACAAAAATTCTACAGAGCAAGAGGTGACAAATATTTTATTTTATCAAATAATCAATGAAAAAGCACAAATAAACAAAAGTTCCCGTGACTTTCGAAGAGAAATGTGGCATTCTTTGGGACGGAAGGAGGATTTTATTACTTTGTCAGACCCAACAACAATCTGCTTTTTGACATATAACAAGTAGCCATATGAAGTTTTTTAATAACTAACGAGCCTGAAAAATTTGATGCAATAAGGTTCCCATCAGTGCTGCAGCTGAATATTCACTAGACTTTAGCCTCTCATCCAGGACAGTACATCTTGAACAACTGAAACTCGCAGCAACCTTTAAAGCCAAAAATAGATAACAGTAAAAGGAACACCCAATTAATGACAAGAAGAGCTTTAAGGATCACATTGAGATGGGATACATCCATTGCAAGTAAAGAAATGAATACATATAGATTCAGATTTGTACGGGGGGATTGTTAGTTTCAAATACCCGAGTTCCGGAAGCCAAAATATCTGGATGAACAATTAGAAAGTTCTTTTCATGATTAACATCACATGTTCCATGGACATCAAATTCTCCTATAACATGAACGGTGTCACCAGGTGCAACGACACTATAGAACCTGCAAGCAAAGAGAATGAACTCATTACAACTTTTATACAATGAATTTGAAATTCTTATGTAGCATTTGATTTTTATAGAAGATATACTCCATCTTTCCTTACGTGCCTATCTGCTTGAGTAATAGAGGGTCAACCACTTTGTTTCTAATGCTTATTTTATTAAATATTTCCATACAATTTGAAACTTCATGTGTTTAATAGACGCTTAATGTGGACAACATTGAATTTATTACTATAAGACTTCGAGGGGACAACAGTTTGTTCCAACCCTTACTATATGAGCTTTGCAAACAAAATGGAGTGGTGAGAGTAAAAATTTCAATTTAGGTGTGGTAAATTTCTTAATAAGCCACACAATATGATGGAGTTTACCTAGCTGGGGCGCCATTCATAACTTATATGGTTTAAACAGGGATTATACTTATAAGTTGGACATGTCTAGTTCACAAGATGTTGAGGGACACATAAATAGTCCAGAACACAAGGACAGAGTGAAATTCAGTTACTCCACTGATCAAGTAATAGCAGTGATAATGTGTTATCATTGGATGAAGCACATCCAAGCTTTTTTTTCTTATTCATTTCTTTATTTTTTTCATTGAGTGATTTTTTTCCAAGAGAAGGGCACTGAGGCAAGCTTACAAGAGGTCAACCTCCACAAAATTCAGCCTCTTTTCACTTTTATGTCATCAGAGTGAACTCTACTAAAAGAGATTAATGAAATAAGTAGTCACTGTTATCTATTAGGAAAAAAGATTGACATCTAAAGAGTTACAATGAAGCAGCTGGAAAATCATTACCATTCATCCCATAATTGCACAACTCGCTCCTCCCCACTTTGTTCATTGAGAAGGCGCAAAACCTGTGTCTCATGTTTCAGTTCACTGGTTTTTATAGAAAGTAAAAACTTCTAGACAAATTAATACGGTCAATGATCCAACCTTAAATGAGCATTTTGAATCTGAGAGCCCGAGTTGTTCATGCTTTTCAGAAACCTATTTAGCAGACATACCATGCAGCTTAGTGCAGATCAATAGATCCTCATCTTTCTCAAATTAGACACCAAGTGAAGAATATTTCCACTGACCTCCAATACAAGAAATACGATTGAGGTTTCTCTCGGATTACTAGTTGCTTCTGACAAAACGGGATCAGGTCTTCCATGCATATCATTTCCAGAAAATATCGTGTTCTCCTCTCTTGCCAAAGATTCAACAGTTATTACATCTTCAACTTGATCCAAAAGATCTATCAGTGCCTAAGACAGAATTTCAGTTAATGGCCAGTACTGAACAATGAAAAAAGTAACTTCAAACTGATGGCTACTTTTCATTTTACCTTTTTTTTGTGCCTTGATCCACGTTGATCAGAAGCTATACGAGGATCAAAACCTTTTTCTGGCTGTCATTTATGATAGATAAACATATACTCAAATCAGACCAGTGCATTTTTCTTAATAGTTCGGATCAGATAAAATAAATACTAAAGTATTGCTAGAGGCTCCAGAAAAGAACTCTGGCTGTTAACTATTGGTCAGATCACCTTCTCATGGCCAATTGTTAGAGATGGAGGTGTCTTGAAAGGACTCTGGCTGTTAACTATGGTAGAGGCATTCTCACTATTGGACTTTCCATTCTTAGCATGAATATCCATTACTTGATCCATAGTGACAAAAGCTAGTTTGGTTTTATTTGGGTCCGCCAGAGCAGTTTCAGGTCTTTTTGTTGGAGGTGAGGATTGCCACTTTGAAACTACTGTCGCTTCTAGAGATTTGACCTATTATGTACAAAAAGAATATAACTCATCACATAATGAAACAAAGTATGAGAACAAAATTACAGTAAAGTCACTACATAACATAAATCAACGCACAACTTAAATACACCTTTTTCTGGGAGCACTGCTGAAAATTGAGCAGATTGAACCGTGAACATTCTGCCAGCTTCTGTATCTTCTGTGCTTTAGAAACAGCATTTAGCCGTTCATTTACTGGAGAAATTTTCCATGTAACCTCATCACCTCCATCATCCTGGCTTTGCATAATCAACTAGCACAGGGAACGAGACAATTCAGATCATATTGTAACTAGTTTTTGAACAGCTTTAACAAATGAAGATATGCAGTTTCAGTAATACTATTCCCACGTGATTACAAGAATACACTTTCTAGCAATTCTAAGTGCTCAAACCCTTCCAAGCATCTCTGTTACCTAAAATATGTCACCCTGAAAACCGTGAGATGCAATAATTACTTTTTATAGTCCCAAAAGCCACTTCTTCATACACGAAATTCTTTATTACTGTGTAAGCCAAATGCAGTAACAAATAACTAAACCCTAAAATCTAAAATAGAGAATAGACTAGCAAAAGAGGTATGAGTGAGGTACACTTAATTGATTTTGCTCCAATCATGGGCTTCCAAGACATATATACAAACATTATGCTACTCTAGCTGTCCATCCTTTGATTGGACAAGAATCAACATTAAGGCTTGCAAGAAAACTTTCTTATAATTGTAACTTTGACATGGGCACTAAATTCATTTTGTGGCTACAATGGGCATTGCATGAGAATGGATGCTTATTACCATTCCGGGAGAAAACTTGAACCTCTTTACAGATGCCAACTTGCAAGTCTCAGGTGTCACTTCTGCTTCATTAACTTCATCTCCTACTACCATAGGTACCAAGTCGCTTCCTCCTACACTTGCCCTGCTTACTGACTTTTCCACTTCAACTATCCTTGAGTTCAAATCCTCCTCTGACCTTTGGCAACTGTTACTGTGAATTACAACTTCAGTATCAAGAGCAGAAGCAGCACCACTCAGATCCATCTTCTTCAAATCCATCGCATTCTCACTATTCTTCACACTCGCCAACTTTTTAGTGTTCCCCAAGCTTTCAGGATCAGTTGCCCTTTCAGTCCTATAGTCGTGGGAATTAAGATTTGCCATTTTTGTGTCATTGTTAGGAGCGGGTTCTGAAGCACCAAAACCCAAATTAACCCCGTCCTTGGTCTTCTGAGAGAGGCTATTCTGGGTGTGGCGTTCGAAGAAATGCTGGATTCCGAACTTGGACGGCTGAGACGACGGCTGCGGCGGCTGGTTCTGATTGCTCGATTTCTTTGATCCACCTGTACTTGTTCTCTTCCTCGGAGGCATTTCTCCAATCAAAAATCGCCTCGCTGCTATGCTAATCTAGGGTTTCTCATCGTCGAACATCAGTCCGCATTCCTCAGTCATCAAAATCAGATCGATTTTCAGAGCATCGCCCTTCGTCTAACACTGAAGGATCTGACGTTTATCTGCGATTTCCCGCCAATATTATGGTGAGATTTGGTTTGGGAGGGAATAGAGGTAGGCCGTCCGATCACTCATCGCTATGCGGGGCTCTGAGTTTTTTTTCCCTTTTCATTTTCTTTTTATTTATCTTTCTACTGATAGGTCCAAATGGAATACTTCCTCCGTGCACAAATAAAGTTTCCGTTCACTATTCACATGGTCAAACTTTATTCACTTTGTTGGCCTATTTTTGTGTCTTATTTGATAAAATAATATAGTCATGTCACCTCTACTTTTGTAGATCTTTTCATGTAGTTTTTAAATATGTAATTTTTATTTTTTATTTTCATACCATATTTCATATAAAATGATTTGAAAATAATTTCAGTCAAACATTGTAACCTTCTATAGAAGGTTATGGAATTAAAAAATAAAAATTACATATTTAAAAAATAAATGAAAAGATCTACAAAACTAGAGGTGACATGACTATATTATTTTATCAAATAAGACACAAAAATAGACCAACAAAATGAATAAAGTTTGACCCTGTGAATAGTAAATAAGAACTTTATTGTTTTACGGAGGGAGTACGACATAACCGTAGCAATTATACAAAAGGTGAAAAGCCCACTCCGAGTGCCCCACACCCCAGCTCGACGGGATAGTGAGGAGGGTAAATCATGATTTAATTTGAATCTTATTCTTAGAGAAGTCGTCTTGTGTCCGGTGCACACAAAGAATTATTACAAAGAATATAACTTTCACACTGTCACGGCCGGGATTCGACCTCAGAATCTATGAGCTTGACATCCTCTCCTTAAACCAGTTGAGCTGCCTATTTGGGCACTGTACCAATTTTTCAAAATTTATGGAGTTTTGTCATATTCGGCCCATTCAAACTCTGCAGATTGATTTTGGATGAGATCAGCCCATTTCAAAATTATTTACTCTTAACTTTTTCCTCTTCCACTTTACCAAGCACCTCGCCTTTCCTTCCCGCCAACCTCAACCCCAGCACCGCCGCCGCCGCCGGACTCCGCGTTTCCATCGACATCAACCACCAATCGCCGGATTCCAGTTTTTCCAGATTTTCAAGTCATTCATTTTGTGAATTGAGTTCAAATTGTGCTTCAAAGGGAGTGAATGAATTCCAATTCTTAAAGGGAATTCATTTCCTGGTCTTTCCAAACACCTTTCTGGAATGAGTGGTTCGTCAAGTCTATTACAGTTATGGCAGCTTCCTTCATCCGTGCACCTACTCAGAAGCTCCAAATTCCCCAAAAGTACTCTCCCTCTCCCTCTCATAGTTACATGTATATTTTGCGTGTTTCAGTGTCTATAATCAGTATTTATGTTTCAAGATGGCTCCTTTGGGATTCCAACTTCAAATTTCATTTCAATTTTGTACCATTGTGATCATGCAAATGAATTCAACTTTGCTTCTTTTTGGTTTTATTTTTTATTGTTCTCTGTCTTTATGTGTGATTCAATTGCTGTAGGTCAGTATACAGTGATTGGGAGGGTCATGCAACCTATGGCATGCTTGTGCAAGCAAGTGCAAACCAGTGCTTATAGAATCGTGAATGGAAGCTATATTCCTACTCAAGAATCCAAACAGGATAACAAAGTTAGTATCTTTCTATACTATTTGCTCTTGAGAAGATCTTTAGTGTTTATTTTCCTTAGTCCAATAAATCCACAAGGGTGGAATTAGGAAATGGCAAGGAAATTGTTGGGTTCCTTCTCACCTGCAAACCTGCAATCAGTTTATGACGTCTGAATCTGTATATCTTGCTGACTTCTAAAGTTCTACAAGTTCTGTGAATGACCCCTTAAATGGTGTTAGGAAATTTATTGTTCCTTTTGAGTTTTGGAAGCAATAATTTTGCAAAATGTATTCTACTTCATTTTCATTTCGCCCTCCATCACATATTTCCTTGGTTTGGATATAGACCTACTGTGCTTGAGTGTTTTGTTTACATTCAAATTGGATGCAATTTTCCATTACCTTCCAGGTGAAATCAACACCAGCGGTAGAAAACACGGGTGCCTTTAAAAAGTTACCCATGGTAATGCCATCGGTGGATATATTATATTCAGCACTGAGGAAAGCAAAGAGGGTTTCGCCTACAAAGGGTAGGTTTTTGTCCAAACCTGCTAAAATGTCAGACGTTTAGTTTTAGTGATGTTTTCATGGCATTAGTGTTTGTGTTTAAACAGGCATTGCTAATATTGCAAAGCGAGAGAGGAATCGAGGTGCAAAACAACTTGATGCATTACTGAAGGTAAAAAAAACTTTCAATCACAATGCACTTCTATCTTCAGTACATACGAAGCTTATGCTTTTGGTGGTATCATTTGAAAAACGGCCTCACAGTATTTCTATATGTAGGAGCTAGCTCTTCCATTGAGGACATATAAGGAGACGTTCCCAGTAAAACAACATTTGCATCCTTATGAAAGATCTTTGGTCGAATTGACACTTGGAGATGGAAACTATGAAGCGGTAATGCTTTGAACGTGACACAACTTTATGTTTGTTCTCATTCATATTGATGAATTTTTTTAGCTTTTGTATCTCTACTATCATGAATGGTAGGCTTTGGAAAGGATTGACTCATTGAGGAAGAAAGTTGTGTCAGTTGGAAAAGAACATGCCTCTCTCTGTGCCAAGGTAAAACAGTCTGATCTTATTGCATTAATATGTTAAATTAATTTATTTATTTTTTGTTCAATTTACCATGTGTTGTCTCACCTATCTAGTGGTGTGGTGCAAGCTTAATTTTTTGCATACTTTTGCAGTCACTGACAAAGCGTGAAGCAGAGGAGCGGCTGAGTGAGGTCAACAACGTTCTACACTTTGAGTGTGTTAATTCACGTCTCTAACTACTTACTTTTCGCACCAAAAAGAAGAAAAAAAGAAGAAAAAAAGAGTTACTTCTCTATTTAGTTCTGATACTTGTTTCGGGATTATTGATTGGATATACAGGGAATGAGAACCCTTGAAGAAATTTTTCACAGCGAAGGAAAAGCTGTTGATGAACTGATGGACATTGCCAAGGTAATAGGTCATAAAAACATGAATTACATGTTAGATTTTTCTATGTTGCAAATGAAAGAAAAGTCTTACCAAACATTGCATCCTCCATTTCTTTGATTGTATTTTAGTAATCTGCAAAATCAAAGCTGCAATATGCCTAGAAGGCAATCCCCATTTTTATGACTCATACTTTGGTTTGGTTGTAGACTTTGAGAGCAATGCCGGTTATTGATTTGGAAACTCCAACTCTTTGTCTTGTTGGGGCTCCTAATGTTGGAAAATCATCTTTGGTCCGTGTACTTTCTACGGGGAAACCTGAGGTATGGATTCTATTAATTGTGATATCTGAAGCAAGAATGAACAAAAATGGTTAAACAATACTGTTTTCTTACTGGTTCTGATTTCCAACATTATATGTACACGCACAACCAAAATTTCATGTTTTTGTCTCAACTGTTTGTTGTTTACCTGTTCAGACTTTGGAGCCTCCCACCCTAAGTTTGATTCTTCAGAAATCACTTCTTCCCTATTATGGAGTACTAATTAATAGATGTGTGCTTCATTAACTCCAGATATGCAATTATTCATTTACAACCCGGGGAATTTTAATGGGGCACATTACTTTGAGCTACCAAAATTTTCAGGTTTGCTTTTGTTTTGCATGATGGTCAGTTGTACCAATATTCCTGTGTACATGTTTGGCTATTTTACTTTAATTTTTTTTTTCTTCAGGTTACCGATACTCCTGGTATCTTGAGGAGGCATGATGGTATGACTCAAATTTTTAGGTGTCCCTAGTGTATGTACGATTTGTACAATCCAGATAGATAATCATTGTCTGTGCATCTTTAACTCCTTTTGTTTTACTCTAAGGGTCCGTTTGGAAGAGGTGAAAATCACTTTAGGAAAATGACTTATGGAAAATGAGTCATTTTCCTGAAATCAACTTCTTTTCTAGTGTTTGGGTGGAGATGTACAAATTTTATGTTTTTGTCTGTTTCATTTTTGGAAAATAAACAATGGAAAAGGAGAACCAATACTTCCTAACCCTAATCACAATCTTCATCGAAAGCCGCCATCTGCTTGAAAAGGAGAAGCACAATCCAAGTCATCTGCTCGAGCCATGCCTGGAGTTACACTTGCTGGTCTCCCCCTCATCTATACCCACCACTGTCTGAATCAATGGCCGAAGTCCTCCATGCCGGCTTTTGGATCAGTGGATGAGTCAGCTTCGCTGGTCTCCCCTCATCTGGAAAATCTAAAGTGAAGAAGGGGGAAGAGAAGAAGACGGAAATAGAGAAGAGAGAAGACTGGAACTGAAAAGGGAGAGGGAAGATAGGCCGAAGAAGAGGGGGGAAAAGACAGAGAGAGATGGCTGAATAAGAGGAAGCGATAGGCGAGGCGGAAAATGACTTCCGGAGAAAAAATCCGGAAGTCACAATCCTGAAAATTAACCTCATTTTCCATTTGACAAAGGGTTGTTTTCCATTGACTATTCATTTTCCATGTTTGCCAAACAACACAAATAAGGAAAAGGATTTCTTGAGGTCATTTTCCTCTGTTCCAACCGGATCCTAAAAAATAAAAATTACTTGCAATCTAACTATGCCGTTAATCATTTCTCACTAGATTGAATTGGTTGTCTTAGGCTTGTACTCCGTATTTGTTATCTGCAGAGGACAGGAACAATTTGGAGAAGTTGACGCTGGCTGTTCTGAGTCACTTACCAACAGCAGTCCTCTATGTCCACGATTTATCTGGGGAGTGTGGGACATCACCTTCTGATCAGGTATATCACTTTTTGTGTACTTTCTCTTCACCCTCATAAACCTTGTCTAAGAATCTTTTGGGTTTTGAAGCCGGTTCTGCTGTTTTAGAAATCAAAGGAATCCATTTCTATGGCCTTAGATAGGAACACATAGAAGAATCTGATTGATGTTCTTTTGGTGCAGTTTGCCATTTACAAGGAAATGAGAGGAAGGTTTAATGATCATATATGGCTTGACGTTGTCTCCAAATGTGACCTGCTCCATCAATCCCCTCTTCTCTTTGTAACAGAAGATGCCAAAACTGATCATCCCGAGCTCGTAAAGTACAGAAAAATGGGACCCGATGGGGCGTTACACGTCTCAGTGAAGAGCGAAATTGGCCTTGATGATGTATGCATGTGCTATTTCCATCATCTCCGATGGAGCCAAAATTTCACCAATTTTTGGCTTTGGGGTGTGATGGAATAAATCAATTACCTAGAGATTTGACAGACGCGAAGAAATTAATTACTTCATCGTCAATCAGTTCGTTACGTTGAAAGCTGCAACTCGGCCCCCAGAGAAACCTTTGTCGGAGAGATGAAAGCTCATCCCCGTTCCAGACGCATGTGTGTGGGAGGGGTCTGGGATGAGAACACCGATTTAACTGGGTTGTTGTTGTTGTTGTTGTTGATGTATGCATGTGCTCAGTTTACCTGACCGGCTGACCCTTACATTAACCTTATGCTCCATTCACATCTAATTGGCAATTAGGGCACATCAAAAGTGGAACGAATGTAGACATGACGTATGTCCATATTCATCCCACTTATGATGTATCATAAAAGTCATAATATCCAGCTAAATGCGAATGGAGAGAGCATATTCAAATCAACCATTGTGTCGGGACCTTTCGGACAGAAATGAGTTGGGCATTAATTTAAACTTGCAAGGATTTGTAAGAACTAATCAGTTAATTAATTACATGCATTTTCTTTGCTTGACCAATGCAGTTGAAGAGCAGAGTTCACCAGCTACTTACATCTCAATCAGAAAGGATTGACAACCAAAAAAGCAAACAAGAAAACCTTGAAGCTCCTCTCCTCTATAGTGCTCCCTGACAAGAGAAACTCATTAAGAGAGTCCACTCCGAATGAAGAAGAAGATCCGAAGTCATATATCTCTCTTTTGCTTACTGTTCAGTGAATTAGGCCACACAAGGCATAGCTCAAGTGGTCTGTTTGTATCGTACTCCACGAATGAATGATATTGATCACTATCTTTTCTTTCATAAAAAAAAATTTAATCAACACGTTTAGTAAATTATTAAATTTTGATTGTACATAACTTACTCTCCCTCCGTTCCAAATTAAATTGCCTATTTACTATTTACATGGTCAAATTTTATTCATTTTCTTTTTCTATTTTTGTTAGTCATTTGACAAAATAACATATTCGTGTCACCACTAACTTTGTATATCTTTTGATGTAGTTTTTATATGTGTAATTTTTATTTTTTAATTCTAAGCTATTTTTCATATAAAATGATTTGAAAATAATTTCAAATAAGAAAAGAGTGGTGCCACTCAATGTAAATAGTTCTGACGAAAGAAGAACTTCTAAAAATAGAATCACGATCACAGACAATGGAACTTGGAAACCCATGCAACTTAACAACGGTGTCAAACTGGGGGGGGGGGGGGGG